AAAGGTTTTAAAACCGCAATGTTTTCATGGATTTTCATTCTTTAGATGGTGATACATTCGACTTTATAATTGCCGGAGGTGGAACAGCTGGATGTGTACTAGCTAACAGGCTGGTGAGAGCGAACCATCGAGTGCTGATGCTACAAGTTGGAGATGTGCAAACTTATGATTCATTTGTAAGCGCTCTCAAAGTTAACCGTATTATTTTTGTTGCCCAAATAAAAAAAAACTTTTAATTCTAAGAAGATTGAGTAGATGAGCAGTCCACATATTCGTATTTTAACAACCATATAACTGCATTAGACCTTGTCTGATAAATAATAATAATCTTTATACATTTTTTTCAGTTACCTGGATCTTGGATATACCTGGTAAAAGACGATACAGCTTTTAATTATTTAGCTCAACCAGATGGTTACACGGATAAATGCCACAAACAACGGGCCATGTATATACCTATTGGAAAGATGCTGGGAGGAACCAGCTCCATTAACCTCATGATCGCCTCGAGAGGAATAGAGCCCGACTACGATATGTGGGCCACAGCAGCAAATGATTCTTCTTGGCAATACAAAAACTTAGTCAAATACTTAAATAGAAGTGTACGACACGTCGGTCCTATAAGCATGTATCCACAGATCAATATGGAACTAGCTGATGGTCCATACGTGGGTGAGAAAAGAAACATAGGGATATCGCAAGATTACAGTACTGTTCTTGATGATTATATAGAATCCTTTAAAGAACTGGGCCAAAAAATAGTAAAATATCTTGGTGGTGAACATTCTAAGGGATACGCTCGGGGATTGCTCACCATAGCAGAAGGATATAGGCAAAGCACAGCGTTTACTTACTTGTCACCAGTAAGAAATAATTCAAATCTGTTTGTGTCAAGGAGAACCGTTGTTAACAAAATAGTTTTCGATAGACGAAAGAATGCTATTGGCGTAAGAGTATCAATAGACGGTGGAGAAGAAATATTTTTAAGAGCCAAAAAAGAAGTGATTGTATCAGCTGGAGCTATAAAGTCTCCTCAATTACTTATGCTTTCGGGAATAGGTCCCAGAAATCATTTGAGAGAAAAGAACATCACTGTCGTCTCCGATTTACCCGTTGGTGAAAACTTCCACGATCAGCAAGCAGTAACGATTATGCATGCAGCAAGAAAGATTAAAGATCCTGGCGCATTTAACTATCATCTTTACCCCGCGTCATTTATGTTAGGATTTAGATCATTGAAACCGTGTTCTAAAATCCCTGACTACGCCACTTACAATTTTGTACAAGAGAGACTAGAGTTCCTTCTTCAATATTGTGGATATCCCTATGATTTTCAAAATGACATCTGTGATAGATCATATCGACAAGTTTTGGGAAGACAGAACGCTTATACACAAATTATTAACTTATATCCAAAATCACGAGGCAAAGTGACTTTGAATACTACCAACCCTGATGATGCTCCGTTAATAGAAACTGGATATTTTACTGAAGAAGAAGACATGAATAATCTAGTGGAGTATGTGAAAGATTACCTTCCTCTTGTGAACACGACTTACTTCAAGGAAGTGAACGGTCGTATAGTAGACCCAGTCGGAGACAAGTGCAGTATGCATGAATATGGTTCTGATGACTACTGGAAGTGTTATGTGTACTGCATGGCTACGAGTATGTGGAACTTCGGTGGTACCTGCGCCATGGGCTCTGTGGTTGACTCCAAGTTGAAAGTCTATGGAGTCCAGCGGTTGCGGGTTGTGGATGCCAGTGTGATGCCGACTGTAGTTGCTGGTGGCAATTACTTGGCCACAGTCATGATCGCTGAGAAAGCATCCGACATGATTAACGCGGATCATCATAATGACTAAACATTTTAAAACTATTATTGGCTTAGAAATGGTCAATGATGTTACCAAGGCAACATTTGCATTTAAACTTTGCAACTATGTTACTTTTTATTAGGTATAATATTATATATCTATACAGGGTAGGTTATAAAAGCAAGGAATTAAATGTTTCATTTATGTAACAATAGTTGTAATTAATGGCTCAAGGCCAATGTTGCATGAATAATACGAAAACAAAAACAATTAAATTGTAAAAACTATTTCTTTTTTTCAGCGTTTCGGGAGCGTTCCGCTTACCCTCTGTTAACTCGTTAAAAGTGTATATTTAATAACTGTAATCACTAAGATCTGAAATAGATATTAATTAGATTTTTTTGTGTTGTAAATAAAATTCTCAATCTTAGTTCATCGGAATTTTATTTTATACTTGATAGATTGACTTTTGGCGAACATCTAGCCTGATGGTAAGCGATGATGTGGCCGACAATGGAGCACGCCTATCTATAAGCCACCTATTCACTCGGGACGTGAATACACCTAGGTTATATTTATAGGGAAACACAAATTCCGGCAAGGAATTTCATTGCTTAACGGTTCGCACAAGAAAACTTAATGCAAAACGCTTCGTGTGAATAGGTCTACCATAATAAGGGTGGTGTCCTGCCGTTCTTCTGGTAGTACGATGGTGAAACGGACTAGAGGGAATAAGGTTGTGTAATTGCTAATCACACTCACCGAAGTAATCGAAAGCAGACCGAAGGCTTGCGACTTTACGCCTGAGTTCTAGGCTTTTATGCCGAGCCTCTGCAAGCGAATCATCATTGATGAGGATCTTGGTGCGCCTCACAATGGATTCAAAGGCTTTCAGCTGATATTTAATCGATAAATACTCCATATCGAACTTGTGCTTGGTAAATAGTGAGCAACTGTTCCGGTGTTAATTATCGTACACTTTCTACAGGACACATAACTACCTACCAGCCAGTTGCGCCCTTCAATTAATATAAGAGCCAAAGTTGAGAGTAGGCGTTAGAGTTACGCCGAAAAGCTCGAGATGATCATCTATCAGAACCAGCCAGTGAAAACCGACTCCGTTTTGTGGAGAATAGACATGCCTGGCATTGAACCCGAACCAAGTAAGCGTCACCTCAATCGGAAACCGTCGGCAAGACCAGGTTCAGGCGTTCTACCATGGACTCTCTCAGAGACTGGATTTAAGTTGCATTGGATCGCACTTTGGATACGTACCTCACAACAACTGTGCTGTCATTTGCGTACTGGGCTTGAGCAGGTTATTGATGTGCCACAAAAAGTGTTGCTGAGAGTACTGACCCCCGAGGAACCCCGACGATAATACCAATAGTATCGACTGAGCAGCCTTTAATGACCTCTCGAATCGATCGATCCCATAGAATCTTGTTGTCAATCTGCACAAACAAGTAGGGAGTCCATACGCAATAAGGCTATCGTGTCGGACCCTGTCAAAGGCCTTCGAGACATCGAGCGAAACGGCTTACACTTCCCCGTGCTTCTCGATTGTCTTGATCCAGATGTGGGCATACGCATGAAGGATCGCAATAGATGGATTTCGGTGAAATTCATATTTGTTGATCATTAGGGAGATCGTTACCTTCAAGGTATGCCAGGAGCCTATCATTTAGTATACGTTCCATACTCTTACAGAGTTTAGACGTACGTCACCGAGATAGGTATATAGTGGCTGCCTTTTTTAGGCCCAGGTTCCACGTTAGCCAGCTTATATTCATTTGACACTTGTCCAGTCTCTAAAGATAGTCAAGTTTGGATCCAACTCACTTATATGAATTTTAAGACCACTATGTGAGTACGTTTATTTTTTGGTAAAAGGTATTTTATTTTTAGATATATTTTTAAAAAATAATAAGTTTATTTCTAAGTAAAATCTGTGTGAGTGTGGGGCTAGTTCCGTTTTTTGAAGCATCGACACGAAAGAAGCAATAAGTGTAAAATTATTATCACCCTATGTAAATGAAGATACTAAACTAGTTTTTTCATACTGTAATCAACTAAATTAAATACGAACATTTAACAAATTGTCTGGTTTAAAAAAGACATTTACGCCACTTTTACTATGTGGCATCATAAGTGAAAAGTCGCTTGTTTCAAGATAGAAAAAAACGTCGTTGCAAGATCTTAAAATGGAGTCTTTTGGTAAGTTTATAATCATAAACCAGAAAATCAGCGTTTGGCAGGAACGCTCAACTATATCAACTACCTCTATATGCTGAGATGGAGGCCCTTTTGACATGTGCACACGCACTACATTATTATTATTATATTATTTATATTTTGATTTTTTTTTGCATATTTAATTTCTCTTTATATCAAAAACTTTGTTTAGTATTGTATGTTCATACATTATTTTGTTATATTTTGATAATTTTTCTTTACGCTTTTAAGTTTGTTATTAATATTATGTATTTATGTAAGTATCTGTATTTTTCATTTTCATAATCTTCGTTTGTGTGCCATTTGCCAAGTAAATGCATTTTCTTTCTTTCTTTCAAATCATATAGCTAGCAAAGTATGCTTCCCTGATAAAAACAAGAATTAGAATTGTGACGACTTGATTTGGTCTCCATGTTGAGCCATCATACAATGTAATGGCATTGGCTATGAAATTTTACCGTGTGGAGAAGAAAGAGAGAATAAAGTATCTACTTAGGCTTATCCTGAGGAAGATATAGCAAATATAGAAAGTCATTCACAAATAAGTTTGAATAGGTAGCAAGCATTGATCAAATTTAAACCATTTTGGGACCACCTCTTTATAAATGTATGTAGAACACTAAAATTACAAATATTTCAGATCCAATGCCGAACAATACGGCACAAGCATTAGCAAACATACAATTGGTTCAGGAAGGTTTCCAAACTTTGTCGCTACTCATGTTGACCAGTTACTTGTTCCCGAAACAGGCTGTTTTAAAAGGTTAGTAATTATTTCTTTCCCATAAAAGGTTGTTAGTATAAAATAGTAAACAAAAAAACGTGGCTCAAATACAAAAGTCAGGGAAAAAATTTTTTTGATTCTGTAGACCACTACAACTTGGCAATTTTTTAGATTTATAACCATTACTGAGAATGTGACTAAGTTATTTTTTCTTTAGATGGGGATAAATTTGACTTCATAATAGCTGGAGGTGGAACAGCCGGATGTGTACTGGCAAACAGACTGGTGAGAGCGAATCATCGAGTGCTGATGCTGGAAGCTGGAGATGTGCAAACTTATGATTCATTTGTAAGTGCTACAAAAGTATCATGTTTGTTTTAAGTAGGTGTTATTAATAACATAATACTAATAATCAAATAATTAATTTATGCTGTCAAACATAGGAAAACAATATGAACCTATTTTTTATTTTAATCGATGAAGTCTCTTGATAATTTTATGCATCTTTTCAGTTACCAGGTACTGTAGTGTACTTGCCAAAAACTGATGGAGCTTGGAACTATTTAGCTCAACCAGATGGTTATACGGATAGATGCCACAAACAACGGGCCATGTTTACACCTATTGGAAAGATGCTCGGAGGATCCAGTTCTGTTAACTTCATGATTGCTTCAAGAGGAGTAAAACATGACTACGATATGTGGGCCACAGCAGCTAATGATTCTTCTTGGCAATACAAAAACTTAGTCAAATACTTAAATAGAAGTGTACGACACGTCGGTTCTATAAGCATGTATCCACAGGTCAATATGGAACTGGGTGATGGTCCATACATGGGTGAGGAAGGAAACATAGGGATATCCCAAGACTACAGTACTGTTCTTGATGATTATGTTGAATCCTTTAAAGAACTGGGGAATAAAATAGTAAAATATCTTGGTGGTGAACATTCCAAGGGATACGCTCGGGGATTGCTCACCATAGCAGAAGGATATAGGCAAAGCACAGCGTTTACTTACTTGTCACCAGTAAGAAATAATTCAAATCTGTTTGTGTCAAGGAGAACCGTTGTTAATAAAATAGTTTTCAATAGACGAAAGAATGCTATTGGTGTAAGAGTATCAATAGACGGTGGAGAAGAAATATTTTTAAGAGCCAAAAAAGAAGTGATTGTCTCAGCTGGAGCTATAAAGTCTCCTCAATTACTTATGCTTTCAGGAATAGGTCCCAGAAATCATTTGAGAGAAAAGAACATCACTGTAGTCTCCGATTTACCCGTTGGTGAAAACTTTCAAGATCAACAAGTCGTAACGGTTTTGCATGCAGCAAGAAAGATTAAAGATCCTGGCGCATTTAACTATCATCTTTACCCATCGTCATTTATGTTAGGGTTTAGATCATTAAAACTGTGTTCTGAAACTCCCGATTACGCTACTTACAACTTTATACAAGAGAGATTGGAGTTCATACTTCAATATTGCGGACTTCCTTATGATTTTCAAAATGATATATGCGACCGATCTTATCGGCAAGTTTTGGGAAGGCAAAATACTTATACACAAATTATAAACTTATACCCAAAATCACGAGGCAAAGTGACTTTGAATACTACAAACGCTGATGATGCTCCGTTAATAGAAACTGGATACTTTACTGAAGAAGAAGACATTAATAATATGGTGGAATATGTAAAAGATTTCCTTCCCCTTGTGAACACGACTTACTTCAAGGAAGTGAACGGTCGTATAGTAGATCCAGTTGGAGACAAGTGTAGTATGCATGAATATGGTTCTGATGACTACTGGAAGTGTTATGTGTACTGCATGGCTACGAGTATGTGGAACTTCGGTGGTACCTGCGCCATGGGCTCTGTGGTTGACTCCAAATTGAAAGTCTATGGAGTCCAGCGGTTACGGGTTGTCGATGCCAGTGTGATGCCGACTGTTGTTGCTGGTGGCAGTTACTTGGCCACAGTCATGATCGCTGAGAAAGCATCCGACATGATTAACGCGGATCATCGTAGTGATTAAAAGTTTTTTGGTCCTTGTGGGATTAGAAGGTCTAGGTCGAGGTCTATCTGTGTTTGTTTCAAAATTTTGAACAATTGTTGTTTGAAATTGAAATTGGTTTGGTTTTTGTATTTCAAATAAATTTATCTTTCTTTCTCTACATATTAAACTTGAGGTGTATTTTGGTATATAATGAATTATCTTTCTTTTTATGATCGTAGACAATAATTCTTGGTTTGATATTCGAGTTAAATTTTCTGGTGGGTTACTGAACTCATGTTTTATTTATTTTTACTAGTAAATTTTCAACTTATCGCAACAATTAATTAGTGTTATCGAGACATCCAACCAGCCACAAGAACTAGGTGATGCATTTTGGCACCAAGTAGTTACACATGCTTTGTTGTTATTGCTAAGTATATTGACAAACAGAGAGATAGACCAATGGTAAAACGGACTTACTGATGAAATATATAGCCATAAAATCTAGAATTTGCATATTTTTTCTTTAACATACTGCATGCTAAAAGGCTTCTGATATGCTTTCAACTGTAGTTCTATTTTCAAGGTGTAGTTTTGAAACCGTGGCATTTCTCGGGGGCATGTCACAGAAGTCAAAAAGGTGTAATGTAAGAAAACGTTTTGGGCCAATAGGTAAAAATAGGGCTATAATTAATCGTTTAAGTTCGACATTATTTCAGAATAAGCGACAGCAATGTTTCTTATTGGGGTTTTATGGAATTAGGAATAATATCAATTACGTGTTTGAGTTTGTGTGTGTTAAGCCGCGTTGTAAAACTAGTTAGAAGTCGGCGGCGTGTAGTTCGCACTTACGGATTTCCGTAATTTACAGAAAAATGAAAAAATAACCTACAATTTTTTATTGATTCGGACTCAGAATCGATAGCCGAGTTACCTCCTAGAAAATGACGCGGCTTTAAAACAAAACCTTGTATATTCATTTTGTAGTATTCATGATTCATGACAATAAAATTGTATTTCACAAACCACAAGTATTCTCAGTGAGCACTTTTAGCAATACTTTCTTATCAACAAGCTGAGCACGTCGCGGGTTCTATTCTCAGGTAAAGAAACTATTGAAGGGTGCAGGTGCATTCACCGAGAGCCATATATACTCGGCTAAAAGCTTTTAACTTGAGAGGGAAAATAACTATTGTAGTTGTAATGTTTTGTAGGAATAAGAGAATTATTTAATTTTTCTTGTTGAATAGTTATTAAATTATTATCGAGCCATGCATTGGTTGGATGGTTGTAAATTTATCTTCTGTGCATTGAATCTCGGTTTCTCGGGTCGGGGGTCTATAATAGCAGGGTGTCTTAGTCTTAATAAGACCATCACACATGGGGTCCAATAGGGCTGATGCCAATACGGAGCCGCAGAAAACGTAAAAGGTTACCGGGGCTCCCGCTCAAAGTGCAGGAGTAGGAACGGGGTGGTTTTTAGTTAGTTAGAGTCTGACACTCCCTCCCGCCGCACCCGGGCGGAGAAATCATTCAATGATTTCCCACCTTAAAAAAGTAAAAAAAATATGTCTTATAATTTGTGCTACGTACTTAAAGGGCAGTAAGCTCACCCCCTATTACATGGGAGTAATAATATAACAGGTAAAATGTTGATGTACTTTGTGTGTCTTCGTTTTAGACGCCTTCTGATTACTCTTTCAATAAAAAAACACCTTGAAGTTATTATTTACATTGCGACGACTTCATTAACAGAAATGTTACTGTGAATATAAATTATACTGAAACCAAATAAATTGATACTCAATTAAAAGTAAATTAGTACAATTGATGGCGGCTTACATTCAATTGAATGGAACCCTAATTTAGAGTTTCGATTTCAATTCGAATTAATGCAATCTGACTGCAATTTGTATAATTATTTAGATTTATTTTGTAATAGAGAATAAATAGACGCACAGTCAAATATATTGCAAGTTTAAGTATTCATTCAAGTTCATTTGTTTCGTTTAGGAGCTCAGGTGCGACTGAGAATTTGAAAACGATTTAAGGTAAGGCTCCATTTGTACGTTGGGCTGCATTGCGTCGTCGCAGCGTAGCGTTCCATACACTTTTCATAACATGCCCCATTACACCGTTGCGTCGTCGTGCGTGACTTTTCTACGGATCGACGGACAAAAGGCAAAGAGGGAGAGCAATGCGCTGCGTCGACGGACAGTCATTTCGTTTGTAGCTGAGACGTAGCTGCGACATCATCGTGCTTTTACCCGCGGCTTCGCTCGCGTCACAAAAGGATAAAAAGTAGCCTATGTGACATATACCATTACACACAGCGCCATCTATACCAATAATTTCATTTTCTCTCGAGAATATCAAATTATTTTTCCGGGGTATAAAGTACCCTATTATTTAATCCAGACTTCTAACTTTACGTCGGCAAAATTTCAAAGGATTCGGTTTAGTAGTTACGGCGTGAAAGCGGAACAAACAAAAAAACAAACGAACTCACTTTCCGATTTATAATATTAGTAAGGATTTATTGTAAACTCATTATTAAATAACGAAGTGGAATAAGCAAACTTTGGTTTCGGTTTGAGGCATTTTGATAAAATCTGCTTCACTGAAAATCATACAATTTATTTACTTTTTTTTATTTTATTTTAAATCGGCTCCTGCACTAGTACACTCTTCTGTATCGTGCGTTTACAAACATACAAGTTTACATACACATCACACCCAGACCCGAAACAATAAATAATTTGTGGATCACACAAAGAGTTTCTCCGTGCGGGAATCGAACCCGCTACACATTGCTCGGCAGCCGGTTGCCCAGTCACCGCACCAACTTTGCAGTCAAACAATCATAATGGTATTCACACCTAACTTGTGATGACCACCACTATACCACAAAAATATAACAATTGACAATCAACTAAAATAGTGGAATTCAAATATTGCACAACAACGTATGATGAAGATTTAGATATAATTTAATCTATAATCTATAATTTAATTTATGATACGCCATCTTAAATCCTGTATCTTTGATTATAAGCTGCATCTACCAGCACGCTCGGATGTCGTCAGGTGGAGTACTCGCAGGGTCGTCACGCTCGCGATACCACGCGACGACATGAAACGTATTAATGCTAGAGCCATACTATTGTCGATGCAGGTATTTTGGTGTTAAATATTAGTTAACAATGTGTAACATTACAATTTTTTTAGAACTTGGAATTTAATAATATCTAGAGGTACTAAATACCTTCTTTATTTTTTAACATAATAACATAACATCACGCAGAGGTGTACATTACGGCACTTAATGCCATTGTACAATAGTAACACCCTCTTTTCTCTACTTATGTTATGAGTCCCATGTAACATGTAACCGGACACAATTCCAGAGTCCGTGCTCCTACTACTGAGATTTTTTGAAAACACCCTACCCAGTAATACTTTGCACTTGCTTTCCCGGCAGTCGCACTTGCGTTCACTCAGCCAACGAGGCATTTGTTGTCTATTTAGATATTAAAATAGACAAAAATAAATTGTGTTAAATATACTAAAATATTATGAATGCATAAATATACATTTAGTAACAGATGAAGCGGAAGAAGTACACTAAAATCGTTTTAGCCTAACCTAGAAATACCAAATGACGTTCAACTAGCTATACCCCTTTAAAGGGAAAAACTAAGACTATACAATACATTATGTATGTAATATCTATGTACCATTTATATTTAGGTGCGAAAAAGCAGACAACATTATATTATTTCTTCAGACCTCTACACACACTAAATTCAACCATATAGTACATACTTGAACAAATGTTAGAAAGGTCTCCGTTCAATTAATACCTTTGGCCTTTAATCGAATAAAAATAGCCATCGTTGATTACAGTGTCTGTTTTTACACGTGTAGACACCGAGTGTGTGGTTACAGGGTTAGAAATTCGAATGCTCTGCGCCAATCGAGTCGGCAATCGTTTCACCCGAGGAATCCGTTTCGCACAGTTAATGGTATGCGGGAACAGGTGATTTGAATAGTTAATCGATACCTTTAATATTCGAATAGTTTACGGGAACGATTGCTAGTTTAATGAAGCCTTTTATGCATAGGTACGGTAGGCAAAGATTTAATATTTTAGTCGATTTTTATTACACCTCTATCGGCAAGAGCAACGTGGAATAAAAACATCATGTTTAGGTAATTTTGCAACTAGAATCCAGACGACAACCATCACGACCTCAACACAAAACGACTCCCAGCTAGATCAACAGTAAAACATATCTCAAAGGCTATGAAAACTATAAAATGTATTCATGTTTACGTTTGAAAGTTTAAACTTGTCTGTGGCGTTGTCAGACTGGTCTGAAACTGCGTCTGACGTTTCAGGCAGGATCTTACTTAAGCCGTTGTAGCAAGCCCTTTGTTTTAGCTTGCGACAACATTCTACTCTCTCCCTTATAAAGGTTCAGTACTACAATGAAAATTTTGTAAAGAGAATCTATTTATTAAACACGTATACTTAGCATTCTTGTTTAGTTTTCTTCAAAGAGCTAGGTACGTGAATATTTGATTATGAGGTTTTAATTTATTCAAACGATTTTCGGTGTTATCGTTTTGTAATAAAGTTACAAGTCTATTTCTGAAATTTTACGGTGGTTCGTACTTTATCGTGGTTAGACTCGCTTGTTCGGATTATAAGTAGTGTATAATAGTTCTCAATAATTAAAATAGATATTGGTTTTACACAATATTCTCAGTTCTTTATGTTTCAGTTTACATAAAAAAATATTGCATATCCATCAGTTCAGTAATTGCTTTTCGAAAAATTGGAAAGTAAGCCCTTACCACGGCAATAGTAAAAAAACTAGTAAATATCGTAATTGACAGTTTCTATAATTTGTCAGCATAAAACGAACTACGACCGAAACTATATATTTCCCCAGTTCCAATATTTCCACTCTGTGACCACACATAACTCTGGCCGGTAACAAAGTTTGTTTCATTTATTTATTTTACCCACAAATCTAGTTTTGACGCTCAAATCAACGAATATTGCTGGAATTCATATTTGGAACGATTTCGTTTTTGTTTTGAACGTTGTGTGTGACGTCAAGTTACGGCGCTCGTGATTGGCTGCGTGTTGATGGGATTACTACAGATAACAAATACGTATTGTTATTTGAATTGCCTACAGATGAATGTGTGTGTGTATAAGGTATACATATAAGGTAGTCATTTAAAAAAACGTTGCTCCACACTATTTTCTCCTGTGTCGTGGGTGCGTTTACAAACATCAAAGTTCACATACATGACATCCAGACCCGGCACAATAATCTGTAAATCACACAAAGTGAGGGAATTGAACCCGCGACACGTTGCGCAGCAGTTATTAGTGCTTAAGTGCTTAAAAAATGGACCATAAAACACAAAAATAATATTTCAAGTTGAACCTATAGGTAGTCCAAGCAAAC